ATATATATATATATATATATATATATATATATATATATATATATATATATATATATATATATATATATATATACACCACAGTAGACAACGAAGAAAACAGTAGAAGTAACTATTTAAAGGATAATTTATTGATGTGTTTATATAGTTGTAGGTCCAGCCTACTCAAATATTAGGTCACACATGCCGAGAAGTATCCTAAGTGGAAACGGGTTGGATCCGAACTTAAAACCTGATAATAATGGGGCACAGGTCAGACATTAGTTTTGTTATTTATTTCTATAATATTTATTAACACTATTATTATGCAACAAACAAGTTCAAGCATGAAATTATGCAGACATTAGGATACCTGCTCAGTTGTAGTTCTGATAGCGTCCAGCAGATGCCGCCATTCTTAACTGTATCGAATGTATCAAACATGGTGTCAAGTTTTGTCCAATTGTGTCAAATTGGTTCATTTGTTCACGGGGCTTTGAAATTGCCATCACTAGCCACCGCTGGGAGCTAAATGGTTGCCTACAATCTATTGCGTGACATGAAGTATTGGCACTAACCTGGCATAAGCCGGATTTATACGTGTATCCATCCGGATAGACTCCTGTGAAAAGTTTTCGCAAAAGGGAGGGATTTCATTTAGTTGAATGCTTAGAGCTGATTGGGTAAAATCACCAAGTGGCACCTGCTTCCCACATTGAACATCTAGCCAAGTGTAGATGCAGTAGCAACTGTGACACATCACATTCTTGGTTTGCTTCACAATTAGTTGAGTTAACTGTTAAATCAAACTTTTTCCAAATCCAGTATGGAGGAACGTGCAAACATCGTTCCCATCCACAAAGGCACAAATGACATCCTTTCCATGTTTTTCAAAAACTAAGCACATGTAATCCCAGCTTAAACAAAATGAATAACAAGTGTCAAGTACATTATCTTACAGCCAGCAAGGAATTTACCATTGGGCAATACTAGGCAGTTGCCTAGGGCCCCAAGTTCCTGGGAGGAAGCCGGAGTATCCGGAGAGAACCCACACATGCTCAGGGAGAACATGCAAACTCCCATGGAGAGAGACCGGGGGCCTGGAATCAAACTCCAATATAAGCTTTTTTCTTCCAAATATCATTCTTTACAATGTCAGGAAACCTTTTTTTTAAATGTTAGAAATATTTGTACGGTGGCCCTGAAGTGCAAACTGCAACTACAAATCTAAAAGCGCAACTACATTAAG